TAGGGGGAAGGGGAGGCTCTGGGATACGAGGCCACTGCTCTACAGTCCTTGTCTGTTGTTCTATCAGTTATTCTGGAACTGTGGATGTGCAAATGCTTGCAGTACTGCTGTGGTCAAAGGAATATGCTGAAGTGCACAGTTTCTTTTAGCGTAGTTGGGGTGTGGTCACAGGGACACATGCACGCTTGGAACAGACGCATGACCAACAAACTGAGAAAAATAATAGACACATACTGTTTACGAGAAGTGTTTAAACATGACACATTTTGTGATGATGCTATAAATCCGCTGCACAGACCATTAAATAGAGGAATATTAGCAGTTGAACATCTACTTTCATTTCTATAGCATAAATAACTTATGATGAGCTGTAGATTAAAAAATAACCATAGCTTAGCTTCTCCATATTTTACAATGGTCTTTTTTTATGTTGAAAATGCCAAATAGTCAAAGCAAAACTGCCCATTTGGAAACATGGTTGTGTATTGAAGTAAAATGAAAACTCTGACTTTTTCTTTGGTAATGTAAAGGCCTGGTGCAGGTTTTCAGATCTTAGTTGATGACAAATCCTTTATATTTAGCAATTAGGGTCTTTCCTCTGTTTTAACCGATGCATTGATATTTATAGTCTATTGCTGCAAGGTTTGAAAAGTGACACTTTGAAGGTAAGAAAAAAAATTTATTGGCTGATCTTTGAAGATAATTGAAATTTTAAGATAAATGGATCAACAGCCTGTGTGTGTTTTCAATTACAAGTTGAGTAATAATGACCTTGCAAAACTAAATTTCAAAAGGGACCACATTGCTAAGCAATGTACTGTAAGTTGTCCTTTGCATCATGTTTGCTTGGTGCCTCATTATGTTAAAAGTTTAAAGTTTCTTTTCTTATAGAGGTTTGTTTTCTGAAAGTTTAATCTGAAAGTTGGTACACATAGTATTTTAAAGACACTTCAAATATGTTTTAAAAGTAGTGATATATTGACAGCATTTAAACAGTTATTGTTACAAGGCTTCCATATCCTAAAAAAAAAACGTAACACGGTTAAAGTTTAGTTTAACATTTTAGCAGTCCTATTATGGTGTGGTTTATTAAAGCCATTTCCACATTTTACTAACCACCACTACTTCTCTTGCACATTTTTGGTTTTGGAAAGGTCAATATTAAATATAGTCTAATGTTCTAATAATATAGATGGGCATTCACACATTTTATTTTAGGTCATGAACATTTATATCGCTGCAGTTTGGGGAAACTGGCTTCAGTCAAATGACGTCAGTCAACACTTCCTCATTTCATACATCAAGGCCAACCTATCAAAGTTCAACAGGAAATGAGTTGTACATCCTTCACATTGCATTGCATGACAGATGGCCATGCAATAAATGTATTGTTAACTTCACCTATGTTTCATAATACTGAATATCTCTCTGAAACTGGTAAAGATGCAAATGTTTTCCCATGATTTACTCTGGGGTCTATTCACTCAAAATCAGCTGCAGTCTCAGGAACTGATCCTCTTTTATGAGTCTGATTCTGCATAACATTTCCATCCCTGACTCTTGCTACTCTAAACACTGTGATCCATCCTCCTTAGAAAAGTGGAACCTTCTAATCATACAGAAGATGTTAAATTAAAGTAAACCTAAATGACTGCCAGTGTATTAGGATGCATTTGAAATGTTCTCATGTAATTTATACAGAGAAAACCATTCCCTTAAAGGGTTATCACCTGAAAATCTGACTTTTTCATGTTAAAGCATGTGTGAAAGTGGACTAATGTTCTTTTTATGCGGGATCTTTGTTAAAACCAGAAAAGCCCACAAGAGGGCGCTCTCAACATAATCCTGTTTCATCAATGATGGAATCACAAAGTGAGGCGCTTCCAAAAATCAGGGACTCACCTGAAGGCAATCAGTAAATGTTGGTGCTTCAGTAACTTTTTACTTATTGTGTAATGTAATGTGTGTGTCGTGTGTACCCTCGCAAACGGTGTATGAAGAGGACTCGTAATGAGATCTCTTTTTCTCTTTAGAATAATTAATCATGGAATTAAAGAGAATTTATGAGGTTATGACTCCTTTAAACCACTTAAATGACTTGCAAAGCTAATTGATATCAGCTTTGAGACAGTATTACAAATAGCATATATTTGGGATTTTTTAGGCTTGCTTAATAAGGTGACCAATCATAAAGAAAACAGATGACTCCATTGAGGCAGGAAAACACCCAAAACATGCAGGATAGGGTTCTGAGTATCAGTTGTGATTGTCTGACTGGATATTAATATGACATGATTATGCCCTGTCCAGCAGCACCATCTGCTGCACAAATCTATGATCAGCAGCCCTGTATGTTTAATCATATAGACTGATTTCAGATAACCCATCCTCCTATGATTGATAAACACTTTGCAAAGATTAAAATAAGTCATTTACTTCAGTATAAAACCTCAAAGGAGTTTAGACATAATTTTCTGTTAGAGAGAAATTTGTAATTAGCTGCTATGTCTTAGTAGAACTAGCAGCCAAACCTAAAAAAGCAATTAGGCTATTACAAATGTTGGATCATTGTAATACCAAAAAAGGTTTTTTTATTGAACATTTTATTAGTGGATACATTGTACATGCCATTTACTTGTGTGAAATAAAAAAAAATCTGATACAAAAACAACAGCTTGTCGGACAACAACTGACAAGGGCCAAAAATGTCACACTGCAACCAATAACAGTGAATCAATGACTTGACTAGAGATGAAACAAATGCGACTGAAAGTACATAATCCAATCATTTCTTCATATGACACATCTGCTTGAATTCAATAGTTAATAACCACTGCAAAACCGTACAGAAGTAGCTACTTGCCCTATTTGAGATTCCTGGTTCAAATGTTTGCATACGTTTTTAGACTCTAGCCTGTTTAACGCCCATTCATACAAATCTGGTGTGTGTCATCAAGGAGCAACCTAAAACATGCAAGACAGGGGTACAAGAGCAACAGGGTCAGGAACCACTGAAGAATAGGAAACAGAATACTTAAGGTCAGGGATATTCAAATCCATTTCCCCAGAGGCCGGGTGCTGGAACTTTTAGATTTTTCCCCTCGCTTTAGAATAGGGTTAGCGTTGCAGATGTTTATACTCCAGCAAAAGCCTGTCATCAGCAATCAATTGAAATGACATGTACTGAGGGGGATTTAGCCAAGAGCTTCCAAATTTCCCTTTGGGATTAATAGAGCATTATTTATTTAATTATTATTGAATAAACGTGAATGGCACAGCCTCTGCCCTCCAAAAGAAAAGGAAAGCAGTCATTGCTATGGCAACACAATGATGCCCCGTGCGTGGCTGTAACTCTGTCCCGCAGTGTGACATAAAATCAAACATTTGCCTCTTTCTTAAAACAAAACTTTTTTGGAATTAATTATGTTTTATCCCCATAACTAACTTGGAATTCTATTTCCGTGTGATGAGGATGCAGAAAACCAGCAGAACTTACATTTGGAGGAACGAGTTTCCTCCTTCACTTGTTCACTTTTACACTACTGTCAAATTCCAGCAAGCCTGCTCTGATAAACGGTCCACTGGCCCTACCCACTACAGGCTTTGGGATAGTTCTTAATATGGTGGACCCTCTGTGTGAACGCACAAATGAAAGGTTAGTGCTTATTGTTTGTTTTTAGGGACCAGGTTGGGATTCAGCCAACATTTCCTGAACATTACAGAAAACATCCGTTTTACTGATGGCCTCAAAGGGTTGCTCAACAAAATTCAAATCCATGAGCTCCATCAGGCTTGCTTACTTATTTTATTTATCAATCTATAGCCTAACATACAGTGTGTATGTATACTATGTATACATATATACAAAGTCTATGTCATGATTTCCATTTTTTATAAGTTGTATTTTTTATTACTTTTGTTATTTTACTGGCATTTTTTTTCTTCTCTTTAACTGAAGGATGCGTAAAATTTCAAGCACAAACACAGACAAAAAAGGGCAGTGGGTGCTCAACCGCATTGAGTAAAATTGCAACTTTAGAGAAAAAACTTCTTTAATATTGAGGGGCAAGATTTGAATCCTAGGTTCTCTGGGAAAGGAGTCAGACCTTTATCAAATCTGTGTGCAAGATGCAATGACTTGCCGTGGTGACTCCTGCACAGAGGAGCAGCGAAAGGAACTTGTGAGCACTTTTCAGGACATTCAAATTCTCCAGATGGAAAGGACAAAGATAAAATGATAAAAGTAGTAAAATCATTAAAAATATATTTACTTCCACCAATGGCAGATTTAAGATTATATGATTCAATTTTGCAAAACATTCATTGGATAGGAAATGTAAATATGGCTGAACCAAGTTGAACTTGTCCTGGATACATCTATGGTTGTGGATTTTATGCTCATGAGAAAACCATTAAAGCTGCAGTATAAACATAAGGACATGGTCCTGCAAAACTAGATTTGTTAATTTAAGTCACAGCTGAAATATTTAGCCATTAAGGTTTCACATGTCCCTGCATTATTCTAACAGCACAGTTTACATCTGTTAAAATCCTGCTTTTGACTGTAAAACTGTCTGGTTGGCATCCTCCTCAGCTTGAAATGAAATTTCTGCATCTGATTTTTTGCTATTAGCTTTCCCAGAGACACTTGTGTCAGTAGCTCTAGCCCAGGTAGCTGCTCTCTGTTGACTTGTTCCTCCTACATATTGTTGTTCACTTAAAGACTCAGTTATTTTAATGATTTTCTTTTAACAGATAATAAAAGTTCATTATGATTCCCTTCATTAGAAATGTTAACAAAAAATAGGATAAAAAAAAGTCTAATGAAGATACTTGACCTAAGTACTATGAAAAAATAAAGTCAGTTTTATACACATCTACTGTACTTTTAAGCTAAACTGTTGTTGCAACTCTGACTGGGGGTGGTGGGACAAACGTGGGAAGAGTCCCAGATCTCTCTGAGGGAGTCTGGAATAAAAGTAAAAAAACAAAGGTCAATTTTAATCTGATTAGTAGATTTCATATTATACATTATGTATAATATAATTTTGCATTAGTAAAACTACCTGGTGCAACCTATTGTAGTCAGGTGGAGACCTAAGCCCTGCATTCAGCATTTTGTGTGGAGCAGAGTTGGGCTGGATGTTTTTCACCTGAGAAGGACAAATATATTAGAATAGTGTGAATCAGTAGATAAAGAAACAGAAATTTATACAAAATGTTCTAAGGCTGGCAAATTAATCTCCTTGATGCTGCAACTTCTAATTCAAGGTTTTACAAGATGGTCATGAAAATGTTTTGACACAAGTTTATATGCAGACTTTAAAAAAAATATGTATCCATCCATCTCATATCTATATCTATATATATATATATATTCCAATTGTAACTTTTAATTCAGCCTGAATAAGGTAACATGCAAATTAGAAGAGTGGTAGTAAAGGTAACATGTCTCTTGTAGCCTCCTTGCCCATAAATTCAGTTCAATTCAATGCATTTATATAGTGCTAGTTCTTAACACATTAAATCTCACGACACTAAACAGATACAATTTAATCAGATCATACGCAGATGGATTAGTCTTCATTAATTCTTCACACCAAGCATGCATGCAATGACAGTGAAGAAAAAACTCCCTTTTAACAGGAAAAAACCCCAAGAGAATGAGGCCCAGTGTGAGCGGCCACTGCCGAGGCTGACAGGGGTTCAAGGTGATGGAAGCGAACATACAAAAAGAAGCAGTTATACAAAAGGTGACTGTTAACCAGCTCTGCAGGTGGCCACCATCCAGGAATGACACAGTCAAGCAGAAAAGCTCTGAGCAATCCCCAATGTTAAGTGAGCAGTTACAGTAAGTCATATGCCCAACTACCCCTCTGAAGGCCTCCTACCCGCAGTCCATGATACTACAGCTCTCAAGGGGGGAATCATGCAAACACAAAAGGCATGACCCATAAAATTCAAGGAATTTATGTGCCTATCAATTTATGTGCCTGGAAAAAGAAATTTTTGTTGTGAACAGGTGAAGAAATGGATGAATTGCAAAGCTGGACACGCAGGAAAATGAGTAAGCTGACTGTAAATGGGAGATGACGCGGTCTGCTCATGCGCTCTTTGTTATCAGCCCAAGCCTTACTGTTGACCGAGTATTAGATTTGGTGCGGCTCGGTTCCAAAGGATTGGTGTAAATATAGTAAGAGAAACAGGACTACAATGTAAAAAAAGCCAAACTCCAAATTGTATACAAAAAAATGGTGTTTATGGCAGCAGCCCGGCTGACATCTCTTTCCAGGACGAAGTCACAGTCAAACAGGAACAAACCAGATGAAACTACTATGACAAGAAAAAGCTGAGAGATACATGTTTATGAGTGCAACTAATAAATACTGTAGAATTGGGGAATAGGAAAAGAATGAAGAAGGTTGATGAAAAGTGGTTCCTATGTCTTCCAGCAGTCTAAACCTATAGCAGCTTCAATATAGAAAATAGCTCAGGATAAGGTAGGAGAAAGGTAGCACCATTAGGCTATCCGTTTACTTATATTCATTTACGAACAAAAAATAAATACATCAAACCTTCTCAACTGCTCTGGAGACTGGATATCTTGTCTGACGACCTACAGGGGAAAAAAACAAACAGGACACATGATGACGTGCTTCAAGTATGATTCTGGTGTTACAATCAAACAACTTAAAATGCAAAGACCAAGTATATAAGGTGATGTTGTTAAAATGAATTAATTCTTATTTTGCTTTGTGCCCGGACCAGGTTACATAGGAAAGTAAAACGGATCCATAACAACAGAATATGAATAGAAAACATGATTCCTAAATTCACCTACTTTTTTTCTTGTGAAGGTAGAATATTAGAACAATGAGGCCTATTATTAGGAATAGGGTCAGAATGCTGCATGGAATTCCAGCTGCTATACCAGCAATGGCAGGCCCGCTCAGCCCTTCACCTAAAGTCAGTCAGAAAGCCATTAGTAGTTTAAATAACACAAACTGATTTTAACCTAATTTTAGTCTGACAAAAGAGATTCCCCTACCTGGACCAATCCTGTGAACCTCAGATGGCTCTCCATCAGTTAGTCGAGCTTTGGGAATAATTCGAAACCTGTAGGTTAAGTCGGGATCAAGGAAAAAGATGTCTGCACTCCTAGCAGATCCAGGTTTCTGTTGAATTATGCGGTATTCATTTGAGTTGCCCTTCGTCATGGCATTTTTCTCATTATTGCTCAGAAGATCTGGTCCTTTCATTTGGATGTCAAAACCTTTGATAAAAGAAAAGGTTATACTTTATTGCACCAGAGCCTTTAGCAGTAATAAAGCTCCAGATTTCAGTCAATCTATGAAGCAATCTAGTCTGTGGTAATAAGTACATAGATATTTGCTTTTCCAAGCACTTCTGCTCTAAGATGTTTTCCCAAAATACAGTTTTGCTCAGCTGACAGGTTTGAACATTACTCAGTGTTTACACCCCTATATTCTTTGAACAGTTTCTATGTTCAACATTTAGTCTGCATTCTGCCTGAGCACTTTCTGCTTAGGCCTACAGTTTCTGCTTTTTCCTAAGAAATTTGTCTGGGAAAAGGACTCAGCCCTGAACTTTCCAAATTTACTTAAAAACTCCACGTTATTTCTGCTTTACCTGTAACAATAGATGTAGGTGGGACCTCCCAGGTCAATGTGATGATTGACCCATCTTCATTAGGGAACAAACTAGAATCTGAGATAGACGGGCCTGAAGAGGGACAGAGGGAGAAAGGGAGTTAATGGGATATAAAGACTGGAGAGCTTTGTTTAAAGGAAAGCACTCCTTAGCTCCCTCACTAAGGGCCATTGTGCCCCTTTAGTAATGCCAGTCATGCTGACAAATAAAGGTAAATGGAATGGAGCTCTCAAACTTCTGTAAACCAGAGGTATTGACTATTGTAAAATCATGTAAGAAAAAGTAATGATGTACAAAACATCCTTTAAATTTAAATGGATTACACATAAAATTGCAATTCTCAAAATGTTGGTAAAGACACTCCTCAATAAGCAAGAAAAACATTCTAGAGTCACGTTTTTATATGAAATCTGTTAGACTGTATATTTTTTTCTAAAATATAGTTTGTTTTTGCTTCTACCTTTAACATTTTTGCAAGCTGTTTGCTCTTCTAACTAATGGCATGTTTTAAAGTCTGTATACTCCAGCTAAGACTAATCGATTACTAAATTAGTTTATAATTATTTTAATAAGTGGTTCATCATGATCAATGGGGATAATTGGTTCAGTCCTATTTATAAGTCATTTAGTCAATGAACAAACTACGTAAGGCCCATTTGAATAGTAGTTTTTCAGTTTAATTAGTTAGCCATAATTCTTCTGATATGAGTGTCTTAACTGCATATTCTCTCCTGAGTATACTCTAGTTTTGTTATTATTTTTTTTTATTTATTTTTTTCAAAATCTAATAAAACAAATAACTTACTACAAAAGGGCATCATGTTCAGTTTATGGTACAATATACTTTAATTTTTTTACCTGTATATAAATTGAGGCTGTAAAACATTTACAGGCCATTTCAGATCAAGTATTAATCCACATGACAAGTATTGCATCATAAAACAGATCTGAATTTAAAGGTTAAAAGATGGGCACTTTGAGAACCAACAAAAACCCTCTTCAGCAAAGATGATTTTGTTTTTTAAGTTGCAATATCATAAAAATCTTTAGTAACTTTTCATAATTTCTCCTAGAATTTTAATGAAACAAAGCCTGATCTAAAGAACATAACGATGGATCTGTCAAACACTGTGAATCAAAGAGATTTCACACATTGCATGTTTAAAAGAAGGGGGCCAAATGTTTACTTTTTTCTGCCTAGAAAACTTTCCTTAGGTAAGCTAAGAACAAACAAAAGGTCACTTTTATGAAAACTCTTGCCAATTGGAGAAGTCTTACTAAATAACAGACAGTTCAACCTATCAAACCAGATTATAGTGAATTTTTTAAAGCACTTCTAAAGCACAGACATAACCTGTATGCTGCTTTACCTTGCAGTTGGACCTGCTTTTTCTGACTGCCCAGTGGATTACGACAAGTACAGGTAAAATTTGGTGTAAGCAGGAAAGTGGAGATGTTATAACTTCGAATCTTCAGTTGTGTGGTATTACTGCTGATCTGGTATGGGGTCCCGTTGATGACCTCCTCACCTCCTCTAGACCATGAAACCACAGCCTGAGGGGATGCATCACTGACACAGTAGATGGTAACTGCAATTTGTCCATCAGGGTCAACAGTGTTTTTTACAGCTGGGAGGAAATTCATGGGACGACCTGTTAAGCAAGCAGATTCTTGTTAGGGTTGTGTTCAATGTTAAAGCGCATTTTGACTGACTGTTCTTTTTTCCAAACAAAAGGAAGGAAAATAAATATTACTTGCTGTAACGCTGCAGGTTTTATGTTCTATTGGATGCTCTGCGTTGCAAACAACAGTTTTCTCATCAAAGCTACTGGCATCAGTGACAGTAAGACTGAAGATTCCCGCTCCAGTGCTTGTGGTGCTTAAGTCGGGAAAAGTCAGCTGGGCATTTGGTGTTCCCCCTACCCACCTGCACTGATACTGCAGATCAGTATTGTTCACAGACAACACCGAGCACGTTGGATCACCTAATGGCCTCTCTGTTACAGGAATAAAAATTAAACGCTCTTAATCACAGATTAATATAATAATTAAAGCATTTTTTAAGATACTTCAACTACGGTATTAAAACCACTTTAGCTTTAATCAAGAAATAAATGACATATTTACATAAAATTAGAAGTTTTTCCACGTACCATAGACAGTTATAGTCACATTCTTCTCCCGCTTCTTTCCACTCATTGCATTGAGCACAGAGCATGTATAAACACCTCCCTGATTGGTTTGCACATTGGTTAAATTTAGGATTCCTTGGTGAAATTCTGAAAGAGTTTGACCCCCAAAGACCCACTCAGCAGTTGGCTGTGGGAAGCCTTCAGCATTGCAGGAGATAATCACAGAGTCCCCAACTTCATAGAAAGGCTGAGCTGGCAGTGCCTCAATTATAGGTTCATCCGGTCCATCTACAACAAAATAAATTGTCCAGAAAAATGGAGGGATACACTAACAGCTTTAAGAAGGTATTGGTAAATTATGAATCTTACAGAGAACAGTCACATTCTTCTGAGCCGTTGCATTGCTGAAAGGGTTCATCAGTAACACAGAGTATGACCCGATGTCACTCCGATTAGGTCCACGTATTACAAGGCTGCCTCCCTCTATCAAATAGTGCGAGCCATTTTCCAGTTTTCTTCCATTTAAGCTCCAGATCTCCTGCCCAACAACACCTTGAAGCATGCTATATTGTAAGGTGAACCGCTCAGCTCCCTCCTGGGGAAAATCAGGCTGTGTGCTCAGAGTCACGACCTGGATCACCTCTGTAGACAAAATGTTTTTGGATTGAATAAACTTTCCAACTGTGTTCATATTTCAACATTTAAGGCTGTGAGTGTTGATAATTGGGGCATAAAACTACTTCAAAACTAACATTTTTATTCTTATTAATTGATAGCAAGTCACAAAATGCCAAAGAATTTGGCTTTTTACAGTGTGTTGTATCCTTTCATGTATTAATGGAAATTTCAGCAGGAAAAATTAGTCAAGAAGGATAGCTGCAGCCTTAAGAGGATTGTAAAGTGAAATTCATTAAAAACTTTTGGGGAGAGATGAACTGTGGTTTAAAGTTAGTCCTCTTATAAAAAAAAAAAAAACACACACACACACACACACAGATATTGTCTTATTTTGCATGCAACTTTTTGAAGCCTCAGGAAAACATTGCTTCATAATTGTCCAAAGGTTTTCTAACCAGATTGGTTTAAATTAATTTATTAAACTATATAATCTGTTTATAGACGGGTCTGTTTCGCATGATATTGCCAAAATCCCGTTGAAGACCACATATAGTCAAGCATATTTACTGCAACACATCTCCACATTCCTTTGCTCACCATATATCCTCAGATTGAAGGTCGTGGATGCTTTTCCCAGTCCAGACTTTGTCATATTAACAGTATAAATGCCACTGAAGTGCTTTGGCACATTTGTAAAGGTAAGGGATCCATCCTTTTCAATACGGAGTACATCCCTGCTGTCATCCACTATGTCTGGAGGAAAATTGGCGTTTATAGTCCATGTCCCCACAGTTAAAGATCCATTAAACCAGATAACCACTGGATCAGTGGCTCCACTGAAGGACACAGCCAGAGTCACGTTGCTGCCAGCTAAAACATTCACCAGGGTTGGACCAACTGGAGACACCACTAGTTGGCTTTTAATACCTGCTGGGATGAATTCAAGTTAGTTCAAATTGTGAAACAATGTATCCATTTTACCTGCTTTCATTAGAAATTAATAGAAATTGTATTTAGTTATAAAAAATAAAACTAAAAAAATAATTCACAGCAGCATTGTCCTTTTAAAAAATAAAAATGTTTCCTACAGAACCACAGGCTCACCTTGAAATGCTGAGAATGATAAAACAATCAGGACCAGAGCGCTTAAATTCTGAAACCATTCCAGCTGCTTCATCTCAGACGAACAGAAGAATTTACCAGCTTATTAGCAGTTTGGAGACAGTTTAATTATTGCTCCGTTAGATCCAGCGCGTGAAGAAGAAGCGTCAGGTAGCAGTGAGGTGCGCAGGTTCCGGTGCGCACGAGCGGCGCCTCGTGAGGAGCTCACCTGTGCTGTCAAAGCCCTGATTGTTCCATGGGGGCCACGCCCCCTCCTTACGTTAAACACAGGGGGCTTTATATCCCCAATTTCAGCAGGAAAGTATGTGAATAGATGACGCTGGCTTTTCTTTGACATTTGTTACCTGTTGATCTAGTGCTTTGTGGCTAAAAGGCATCTCTCCATCTATAAATATAAATATCAGTGTATTAAGGTTCTCTTGTGTTCAACAATAGGAAAGCATTCAACAAATATATGTTTGAGCTCACTTTTGGAAAATACAAGAACCAAATGAAAGTGTTCGGGTCGAGTAACTGTAGGTCCATCAGTCCCCACCAACTTTATTACAAAGCTACACCCTTGGTTTTAACATTTTCTTCTGTTTAAAAGGGAAACCCCTCAGTTACCGTTTTTCATTACTCCTGCCTTACTCATCTAACAGTAGCTCTAGAACATTAGTTTCCTTTAATATTATAATGAAAATATTCAATGATAACTGGTCTCAGTTACTTCACCTATAACTTTGCAATAATGCTTTACGATAAAAGACTTTTTTTTGTCTTTTTAAAGGGGCATTAGAGCAACCTCTACCAGCTCCCTCTAGTGGTAAGCATAAAAAAATGCAAAGTACATTTTCCAACTTTAATGGACCTCACAGTTTAGACCAAATTTAAAGGTATATTCAGAGTGGATAATCAAAATAAGTGGTACTCCTAATTGTCAATCATTATGGTGATATGTTTAAGGCTGTCCTACATCCTTGTCCCCATTTTTACTTACCGGTGGGGAGTCTGATAAAGTAGAAAAATTGCAAATCTTCATTTGGAAAGTAAGCTTGTATTAGCAATGCGAACAGCAACTTTTAAACAGAGCGTGCACAAGGAAAAATTAGCTTGTGCACGTTTAATTGGCGTTCCTTCTTGGGAGCGGGCAAAGGGTTGTGCATGTGCATTTTTTTAAACAGTGGAGAGGGCGGGTCTTTTAAAAAAATTTGCAAAAATCCTCTGCTACACCTTTAAACAATGTTCTTTGAAGACTATATGTTATTTTTGACATCACCCTTGCCCCCCCTTAATTTTCTTATCATGTTTGGTTGGTATAAATGCTTTTTCCTGCAGTGATGCATGGATTAAACAAAACAATAGTAATAAAATATAAATATATATATCATACACAAGTTTAAATATTGCATTAGAAGTTAAACAAAAAATGAGTACCAAAAAAAATAACAGACACTGCTCTTAATATGGAAAAGACTGGCTGCTTTATTGTCACTGTGATATTCTGTACAACCAGAAAATTGAGGCGCTTATGGTAAAATTCTGACTTATAATCTCTTCCTTACTCTACTGAGACACATTGTCCAGCTATTCCCATAGTCACATATCCATTTACTTTGCAGATTAGCAATTGTAATGAGAATGATCCTAAAAGACATAATTTCTACATACATAGATTTATATTTACAAAATACAATTTACACCTCTGAAAATGTATGACTACATTAGGAGATAAAAGCTGTATGTAAAGCCTCTATAAGATGCTTCTTAACAGTTCTTACAATTAGCAATCAAAAAAGTATGATTATTCAAATTTCACTCATTGCATAAAGTATATTAACATTGGTGTTAAATGAGACAAAATTAGTATTTATGGTAAAATGTACATCGGAAAAAATATCTTTTTGGGATAGTTTGACTGCAGGACAGTGTGTCTCAGTGACCATCTTCAACTGTTGGTACCAAACTGCACATTCTCAGAAACAACAGTCTCAAACAGAAGGACAAGACTGATACATAAACTCATTTGGTGGGTGTGTGTATGCAGTACAGTCCTAATTCTTTAGAAACCTGCAACGAGAAAAGAAAAGGTAGACATGAAGAGCCAGAATTTCACAAGTTTCAACTTTCTCTATAAAAAAAAGTAGACACCTACTACTCTGCTCGGTTGTGTGCTCCTGTCCTCTTGATCTTCTAGGCTCTATACCTTTCCTGCATCCTTTAGTTTTCCCACCAGGTCTTCAACTGTCTCCACTTTCATCCCTGCCTCCCTCTGTGGGGGCTCGTCAACCCTCAGCACCTCCAACCGTGATGTAAGATCCACACCCAGGTCTGCAGGCTTAACATTGGCAATCTTTTTCTTCTTTGCTTTCTGAAAAAAAGAAGGAAAAAAAAGTGTATTTGTTTAGATGGAGGTAAGTGATATCTGACAATTTTCATTGAGATTTTCCACCATCTACAAACATTAATATTATTCAGTATGGTGTGGTTTTTTTAACCAGTTTTCAAGAGAGAATAACTACGAAAACAGCTGAAATGTTTATGGGGTGTAGGCATCTGCTAACTTCTTCGTCTTAAACACATGCAAATGTTTACATACACACAGAGCAGNCACATGCAAATGTTTACATACACACAGAGCAGCTCTTCAAAGAAGGCCCAAAGTGACTTGGATTTCAGCAGGCTGCACATGTAAACCTTGGTTTGCTTGTGTGCCTGCTTCAATACGTAGATCATGTTTTAATGATCAAACTGCATAGATTCATGGGTGGAGGATTTAAAAATGTAAACAATCACCATGTGCTAAGTGATTTCCAAATTTGAAATTCTGCTGCAGTTTTTGCATCGTTTTTAGCACTTCTTAAAGTGAGGTCCAACATTTCTGCAGTCATTTTTTCCACAAAGGAGCAATTGCTACAATGCCAGAGCATGAAGAGATTAGAAACAAAAAGAAAAATTAAATATCATCTGCACAGAAATCTTGGCAGATCACCTACAACATACCCACATAATGAAAGCACAAAAATATAAAAAAAAAAAAACTATTGCACATGAAATTTAGTGCCCCTTATTTGTTATATTTAAATATGAAGACCTAAGAGTCTTTATTTTGTCTGTATTCTTTACAAAACAGCTAAGTTTAGTCAGATTAACAAGCGAGACTCCATGAACAGGATTTTTAAAATTCTTGTCACGGGACTGATTTAAGGTCCAGGTATTTACAGGGTAATTCTAACACATCTGTATGCTTTGATCTAAAGCATCCCATCACAGCTCTGGCTGTATGCAGCTCTATAACAGCTCTCCTGCTGAAGGATAAACCTTCCACACGGTTTCCTTGGCCATCAAGGTCCTCTTTGTTCTCTAATGCTGTCTAGCATTAAAGGGGTCACAAAAGAGGTCAAAGCGACGGATAAAGCAAAAACAAAATGCAATTTCAAATAGGACTTGAAAATACAAGTTGAAAAAGAAAATGGAAATGGAATAAGGAATAACATTTTTAAATGTATGATAAGGAAAGGTATTTATGATTTTTTTTCTAATGTCCATTTGGAAATAGGATTTGAAAATACATCTTAAAATTCCAGTAATTTTATAATGGATTAATTAATATAATTTACAATTCCTCTTTAATAATTCAATTTGAAGTGTCTAAAATGCTTTTTTTTTTATTTGATTTCTATTTGCGTGACTTAAATATTAAATTTGGAATGACTGGTTTTCTTTTTCAGAGACTTTCTAGAGTCTAGGTCCTTTATAATCTGGTATCTGGCCAATCAATGCTCAAAACTGATGTTTCTGTATTGTAATGGGAATGAAAAAGTTATATCAAGTGTATATAAAAAAATGTTTTCCCCCAGAGTTTTATTGTCAATAGACTATCACAAGTAGAGCGCAACAATATTCCCCCTCTATATTTAATCCATCCCCTTGGGGAGCATCGG